AACTCTTTTTTTTCTTTTTCTTTTTTTAAAAAACAAAAACTTTCAAGCTTCCTACCTGTGTGAAGTGCTGCTTCTGGGCATGGGCAGACAGCTTAAATTTCACTGTCAGAGCCGCTCAGACAGAAGTTTGGCAGAGGGCAAAAAGCAGACAGATTTTTTTTTTGCCAACTGCCCCAAGGCAGAGGGGCTGCTCTGGGCAGGTGATGAGAGCTTGTTTGATACTTAATAAACAACAAAAACTTTCAAGCTTCCTACCTGTGTGAAGTGCTGCTTCTGGGCATGGGCAGACAGCTTAAATTTCACTGTCAGAGCCGCTCAGACAGAAGTTTGGCAGAGGGCAAAAAGCAGACAGATTTTTTTTTTGCCAACTGCCCCAAGGCAGAGGGGCTGCTCTGGGCAGGTGATGAGAGCTTGTTTGATACTTAATAAACTGGCAAGTCATTAACCCAGTAAACCAGTGCAGATATGAAATAATAAGAGGATAAAGCTGCTTCGTCAGTTGTTTATAAATATGAGCTTTTTTTCCCCGTTTTTTGTATGCAATCTCCTGGATGGCAGGAATCCACTGTACACTGGTCAGTCCCTAGTGAAAACCAACGGCGCACACCTACCGTACTGGCCGTGAGAAACCAGAGTGCTGAGCGAGGGGACTAGCTCAGGCTGATGGACTCTGGGCTCGGAGACAGGCACTATTGAAACCAACTCCGGAGTAGCCAGCTGTGGGTCATCAGAGACCTCTACAAGGGACAGGCTTAGGAAGGAGCAGCCAACAGCACTTACTGCTTTTCCTGTTTTCCAGCTGCCATTGTGCGAGAAAAAGGTAATTGTCCTTCTCCAGAAGAGGAAGATGACAAGCACCAGTGCGACTTTCCAACCTGCTTCCATGTAGCAGGGTTAAACATGCCCTGGGATCAGGGTCCAACACCAAGAGCTGCCTGTTCCCAATGGGATGGCCCCACAAGCGTGCAGCCCTGTGCATCTGCAGAGGAGCAGAAGGTAAGTCAAGGGCACGGCCCCTGCACCTGCACTCGTCTGACAACGGAAACAGCCTGATCAGGAGGAGCGCTTAACCATACCCTAGAGCTCTGTGGTGAGGGCTCTCTCCTGCCACCTGGACATAAATCTCTGCAGGCAGAAAGAACAGGACACGGGCCTCCCACGGACCCTTTCTCTGGTACCTGCTTCTCCCCATCTCACACAACCAGCAGCACCTCCTGGGTGCCAGCCCGCGTCAAGCTCATCAGAAGGGCCCAGCGATAGAGAGCTTCAGCTTCCCTTGGCCTTCAGGTGACACTCAGTCTAAAAGCAAGTCTGTACTTTGGCTCCCAGCTGGAGGGATGGCCAAGGCCACTGGCCACCACAGCCTCTCACGCTCAGCAGCAGCATTTTGTTCCATGCTGTCTCAAAGAACAGCGGAGCCCTGAGCAACTTTAATCATAGAAATCATAGAATAATTTGGTTGGAAAAGACCATTATGATCATCTAGTCCAACTGTAAACCCAGCACTGCCAAGTTCAGCACTAAAGCATGTCCCCAAGTACCACATCTACACGTCCTTTAAATACCTCCAGGGATGGTGACTCCACCACTTACGGTAACTACATTATTTTTGTCTCCTAAAAGCTGTGCAGAGTAGGATGGCAAGTCCTCGCTGCAGTGAGTAGCCACTCTACGAGTTGTAGCCGCGCTCCACTGTGGCAGACCTTCTCTCTGAGCAAATAAACCAGTGTGATATGACTCATGCCATCAAAAGCCCCACATGGAACTTGGCCATAACATCTTGCTTTTGTTGAATACTGTCTTTACTCTGCAGATGAAACTGCAAAATCTACTTGATCTGTGAGAGAAGAAGATACTGCCACTTGTAACTGAGATTTCACTGGATTTCTCTCTGTCTCACTTGTTCTCTCCAACCAATATTTCACCTGAACACTGCAGACAAATTAATTTTGAGTATCAAATCAGATCTGAGAAATCCACCCAGCAGCAGAGAACGCTTACCTTAACACTTAACTTTAACACTTAACTTTAAGTTAAACAGGGCACATGTGGAAACTGGATGCCATGTTCCGCAGCCTCTGGGTCAGGTTTAGTGCACCCCCCCCGCAGCTTTAGCAGAACATGAAAATCCCAGATGCAGGGTATGAAGTACACAGAGCAGGCAAGCAGAAGAGAGAGACTCTTCTATCACTCCAGGCGCATCTGCCCTTTAAGTATTGACACAGCCAGAAACTGCTGATATCTGCCAGCATTTTAGTAGTGCACTATGTACTCATATTAGTTCTTCTCCTCATAAGCTTTCTACTAGTGTATGTACCTGCTCTTCCTTGTGCCCTGCTCCTTTTTGTCCTAATAAGCTCCTAGTCCTCTTCCCTGGAGCATCACTCAACACCCCCAGCCCCTCCACTTAATTAAAACCATAAAACTGTTCTCGTTATCCTAGTGTCCTGCCATCCCTTCCATACTCCACATACATAGCAATTTGTTCCCAAGGCCATTTTGGAGCAGAGAACTCGCTCCTTCATAGTTCACACAATGCAAAATACAACCATTTCAGAGCCACAGAAAAAGCATGCAAGCTGTCACATAACCGGCAATATCTTCATCCACTGTGGTCCTCAAGCTTTTCAAAGCCAGCCTTCCTCTTTTTTTAAAAAGTTTCATTTCCCTTTCTCATCTTCCCAGTTTCTACCTGACAAAAGCTCTATTTTCTCTCTTATTTCAAGCCCCCTAGCTCAAACATAGGGCTGCGGTATGAAACAGTTTGTACTACCTGTTTTCTTCTCCCAACATTTACATTTTACATTTTCAGTAAACCTGAAACCCAAACTCTACCTGTGTTGGCTCAACCTTGGAGCTGAAGGGGACGGACAGCTTTTGGGTGGGGTAGTCAGAGACTGGCACACCCACACACAAGGGCAGGGGAACAGTTTTTTCTGCAGCTCCTACCTCTCGTCTTCCAGTTACAGGATGTATTCTGACACTCTCCAGCGAGAAAGGCGCTGCTCTGGTACAGGAAAAGCTGCTACATCATCCAAATAGCAAACATAGTTTATTTTTAAAACAGCTGGAATCTTATATTTGACAAGGCTGCAAACAGATGGAGCTCTCAGAACCGGGCTGACACTGAAGGAGACTTAAAACACTTTTGCTGGCAGAGCTACAGCAGTGAGGTGCCAAAGTCCCTGCCAGACAGAGCTGTCATTCAAAGACCCCCAGTAGAGCTGGCAATACCAGCAAAACCTGTCCTTTTCTTCATGGACAAGTTTCACAAGGAGGATTTGGGGGGAGCGAAGAAGTTTGGCAGCAGAGATGTCAGTTTTCCAGCCTGAAAGCATCCCACATTAAGAGCACCTGGTGGGTCTATGGACCCAGCACTGCTGTATCAGCAAAAGCTGCAGGCACACCTTGGACCTATTGATGGGCACAAAAATCCAAAAGGGAACATGTAACTTCTCTTGATCCAATATAAACAAGTGCACATGCAGCAAAACATATTATTTGGATGATCACAGAGCATAGTTCAGAAATTCTTCGGTTGTCTGACTGTCTGAAATTCCCTCTAAGGTTCTTTTTTTTTTCCTCCACATGGCGGCAAGTGAGAGTGTGACATGGGAGGCTGAAAAACAGACACGAGTACAGAGCCTGAAGAGGGGATACAATCCCAGCAGAGTGGAAACAGCCTTTTCTTCAGAGCACGCTCAGGCTCCAGCCCCAGTCATTAGCAGGTGTTTTTCCCCACTACCACCACAGTGCTAAGGGCTGAGCTGCACTCACGCTGTGTGCAGCAGAACATTGGTTTCCCACCAATTCCCACCCATCTTCTGGGAAACAGAAGGGATTGCATCCTTAAGTATCTACCATGTCAGTCCAAACTAAAGTCAGGGTGCTGGTTTCCAAAAACTGTCACTAAGTCAGTCTTGGCAGGAGAACTGGTGATCAAGCACCCTTGTTGCAAAAAAATACATATATATGTGTGTGTGTGTGTATGTGTGTGCGTGTACCTTCTTCTGCAGGTATTTTCACTCAAGTTGCCCAGAATGAAGTCCCTCGTGGTATACGTCCTTTGGACTGGTCCTGTGCTGACAGGGCAAGGAAGCCTGAACCATCTCTGACCCAGCTGACAGAGGATTTCTATCGGAGAAGGATGTCTGTTCTCTGAAGCCAGGGAGCCTTTGAAACATGCTCAGTTCAGGTTGTTAAAAAGAAAAAAGTGACCTATTTCTGACCAAACATAAGATATCTCATCTGAAGGTATGGGGCAGAAAAGCAGGCCAAAGTTTGATATTGTAAAGAAATAAAAAATAGTCAATATTAAATTAATAACTTTGTAACTGTCTTATATAGTTTTATTTGAATAATCCACTATATTAATTTCAAAGCAGTTTATCTTTGAGTGAATAATGAATCTTCATCCACAAACAGCAGACTTCGGCACCTTCCAGTTGTTTCCTGCTCTGTGTTGCTGTAAATAGGGCACTTATGAAAAGGAACAGCAAGAAGAATCACAGAAACTGCACCATGAAGAGGGCAATTTCTACCTTTCCAGGTTATCTGCTCAGTTTTTTCATTTATTTACTTAAAACTTTTGACACTTTAGCAGTTGGCCAATTTCTCTTGTCAAAGAATCAAAGTAAAGACATATATTAGGATAAGAGAAAAGAATAAGATAGCAACAAATGACTATGTATGATGACTTGCTTATGAGGTCATCAGAAGAATTTTCTGAGAAGACCATTAAATTACTTCAGGGGTATTGATGCAGAATTTCAGACAAATAGAAATATGCATAGCAGGCCAGAAAATGTTTTTTTTTCCTCCAGACTGATTCTGGTAAACTGTATAAAACCCACTTTTTGCAGAAACCTGCTGCATCATCATGCAGTTGTCCTGACAGAAGAGACCAACTTATAAGTACAAGTTCTTCTTCACAGCTAGACGTGAAAGGGAACAGCACCAAAGAGGAGGGACCTGCACTTTTCATGCCAAGAATTTCCAGCTCACCGGAGATGGACTGCAAAAGGACAGAAAGACAGAGGTGCCAAGAAGGCACTGTCTCAGCCTCCAAGTTACACAGAACTTCATGACAAGAGCAGGTTGGACAAAACTGAACTGTTCTGCCTGTCCAGGCTCTGGGCAGCATCTCCAAAAGCATGGGTCCCAGCAGAGGCAGAAGAAGGGACAAACCACATAATACAAGGAAGAGAAAGAAGTGCATTGCTCCATTCACAATGGGCTTTCCATAAACACCATTAGACTCCAAAGAGAATAATTTATAGGAAATGCAAAGAATATTTCTGCAGAGCAGGTCTTACAAAGACCCATCTTACAAATGAGTATTTGTGAAAAGGAAAAGATTCTACAAAACATTAAACACATTCTTGGCTATGTATTTTACTGTATTTGGCAATGGGAAATTTGTAAGAATAATCTTTGATTGTTAATAACCTGTAAAAATTCATGGAGAAAAAACCTGATTTCATCACGTACTGTTGGTGCCAGGAGGGAGTGTTTGCAGTGACATTCAAGTTGCAGTTCGTAATTTTTGACGCTGGCTGAGCTGATGTTAGAAAAAATCCACAGTTCTGATACAAAGAGGTAACAAAGACTGGGGTCAGCTTATCCAGGCACAAATCAGTTTGTAACAGTTCCTTTGTTAAACAAATCAAGTTGTAAAATAAGAATCAGGTAGGAATTTGCAGGATTTCCCTTCTGTAAACAGATGGAGGAAATCAGAAGCAATTTTTCCATCCCACTGAAAGGAGAACCAAATGACTCTCCAGATGAGTTCTAAATGCACTTATTGCAAATAGCTGGAAATGACCACAACCCAGCTTGTGAGACAGAAGTTGTCTTCCTCTGTAAAGCTCAAAAAGGTAGGTTCTCCATTATAAACTTCTTCGAGGGAGGGGGAGGTTTGGGGAGCAAATAACTTTGGTTCACAACATTGTTTTGCACTGGCATTCAAGTAGATCCTCCAAAGCTGCTGGCTGTCCAGGCTAGTAACAAAATACCGATGCTCTCTCCTCGGCAGTGGACACTCCTCTTTGGTATCCTATTTTGTAAGGCAGACGTCTTGGGGAGGTGAAGGAGTCACACAGATGCATCTTTGAAAAGGAAAACAGCGTCACTTGCGTTGCCACAAACAAATTCATCTATTTGATTAAGGAACACACAGGAAACCTTCTTTTGGTAGGGGATGGGGAAGGGAGAAGAGAGAGCACCCATACATTCACTGCTTGCTAGAAGCAAGTTATTTTGCTGTAGTAGTTGTTAACAGCTGTCAGTAGCTGTGATAAGTCTGTGTTGACAGAAAATATGAAATTACTGCTTTGTGAGTAATTTTGAGTAAAAAGGAGCAGGAGGTTAATAAATCCTTCTGAGCAGACACTGCCCTGTGGTAGAAAATATAAATATTCATTTTGGGAAGCATTTTGGCTGTTACTAAGCATGGTACTTACTTGTGGACTGCGTGACGCACGAAACCTTGTAGGATGACCACATGCTTAAAACACAAAGGATCGAAGCTAGGAACCCGAAAGTCTACATGAGAAAACAAACAAACCACAAATACTTACAGAACATTAGATGACACATATTCCACAAAGGTACGGACACCTTTGTATATCCAGCTACATACTTCATGACATTAACAGACCTACAAAAGTGATTTTTACTCTATTCTACCAATATACCAAAAAAAAAAAAAAAAAATCTGCAGTAAAATAGCAGTCTTGTCAAAACAGTGGCTGAAAGATAGACTGAGAGTCATATGCACGGAGGGAGAAAAACCTGGACAGCAGCACTGAGCCTCACCTTCTAGACTTCTCATTAGGTTCTGCAACAAAGAAAAGACTTTTTCTAACACCTCTGATTACTGCTCTTTTACTGCACCATTCAAACAAGTCTTTCCCTGCCATCTGCCAAATAAACAAGTCAGGTAAGTCTTCTAGTTCATTTGCATTATCAGGTCTAAGTTTCTGAAAGTATTTCTTCTGAGGAGTTGTATTTCAGGTCCTGCTGCTGTGAAAACATGATTGCCCACACCCAGAAGTCATGCCTCTCTGTACAAAACCCTTCAGCCAGCAGAAGCAGAGGCTATCTTCCAGTAAGTCCACCCAGGACCCCAGTGGGTTTTAGCTCAGGAGAAGTTATCATGAACAGGGCTCTGTTCGGAAGCAGGAGGTGTCAAAAGCAAAAGACTGGGGTGAAATCCTTCAGGTAACTTCTAGCTGCTGTAACAGCCATTTGTCAAAACTGAATTGTCTTAATTCTTCCTCTAAACATATTAGTTCCTGTGAGTTAAAGCAGGAGCCTTTGATTTCAACCCTCTGACAGGACAAATACACACTTTAGTGGCGAGTCTAGAGTCTCACAACAAAGTATTTTTGTTGGCATTGTGTTACAGAACATTCACTGACATGAGCTAGAAGGCAGTTCACCCAATCAAGACACAAGCAAGGCAAGTCTGTAAGAAAATAAAACTACAAGTAATAGATTGCCAATGCCCTACTTACTATATATTGCAATTTAAAAAGTGTCAAGACTAATGAACACAGTCTTACCGCTCCAGCCACAAGTCCAGTCAAATTGTAACTCTTGGATGCTGCTACAATCGATGCAATGAGAAGCAGAATTGTACCGATTAAATAATGAAGAAACTCCTGTAAAGACAAGCACAGCCTGCATCAGAAGGCAAACTTCTCAGGAAAGCATTCCAATACGCCTCACAATGAAAATGAGCTGACAGAGGTTACTCAAACCCAGAGGACACCCAAAAAAAGAGAGAGAGAGAGAGGGAGAGGGAGAACCACCTCGTGAGTGGTTTTTGTACCATACCTGACTTTCTCTTCAAAAAATGAGAGGGGGACAATCTTTAGGTCTACTAATGTCACTGGAATAAGATCTACTCACTGGGAATGGACACAATTCTTTCAGTTCAACATGGTGCATTACTGAGGGTGAAACACATATCTTTATTGCATCAGGTATGTACCTTACTTAAAGAGACAGTTCTGAAGGGAGGAAGAAGTCGTGAGGGCGTATTTCTCTAGCCTATATGAAATGGCAATAAATGCCAGCAGGTGATGTAAGTGGAAAACCAAACGCTTCTACTTCTGATAATCTTAGGAATTAAGCAGTGGATCTACTGCTGGATTTACTAACAACTTAGATCAACCAAGACTGGAAACAGGAGGGAAGCCACAAAAAGCACAACTATACAGACACTCATAACCATCACCCAAGCTCCTAAGTCTGTAAGGGTGGCTGCAGTGTCCTGCAGTAAAACATGATGCCCCGGTTTTTTCTGAGAGAGCACTGAGGCACCACATTTAAACTCTTCTCTAGTGTGACAAGTATCAGTCCAGGAGTCAATTTCACCTTGTTATAAAGGAGGGTTATCTGTAGGTTTAGATTTTGAATCCTCACAAAGCTTATGGCAACCAATACGGGTGTTTGCGAACTGAACACGGGTTGTTTCCTCTGCATGGTGGGATGGGCAGGAGGGTATCTGCTTACTCTATCGGCACTGCACTACCAAGCGAATGCCGTGGGTAAGGGACAGGAAAGATTCTGTCTCAAACCAAAGGAGAGAGAATATAGTCCCAAATGGAAATTGTTCAAGGAAATTCCAGAAGAGAAATAGTCTATCATACCATACCACAGTTTCCCTCTGCTCAGGTGTTTAAAAACAGCTGAGGAGGATCTTTGCCATAAAGCAGGCTCTGAGACTGCAACTTTCCTCATCTGTAACCTTGTTTCAGGTAATCAAGATCTCAGTTCTTTTTTTATGAGGATAAATTATTTCCATAAGAAGACTTCTCTGGCTAGGTTGTGATGCAGCAGGCAAATTAGGCATGCCATTGCCTCCTTAGAGACACCAAATTAGGCACTGTACATCGTGTACACAGGCCACTATGTTAGAGGAATGTGAAGGATGGGCAAAGGTGCAAAAGAATCATCAAAGGCTCACTTAGGTGGAGAACCAACCCCTGGCAAGACCGGGAGAGTGACCCTCTGGAGAAATACTTCCCAGCTTTAAAAGGTGTCAGTGCTGAACAGCTGCGACTTTATTGACTGCAAATCACACCTTGATAGCAATGCAGAGATCCTGCCGGGAAACTCAGCCAAACACTAGCTGTAGTTTCCCATAGTCTCTTCCAGGTCTTCCTAAAGATACTTAAATATGTGACTGAAAAGGAGGTTGGTTGTAATAGAGCAGCAACATTCAAGCATCATATCCCATAAAGCTATCTGAAGCTGAGCACTCACAAACTGCAGTGTCTAGCAACTCCACTAGCAACTCTGGAACATTTAGGAATGATTAAATACACAACAAAAACCAAAAGCAGCCTATGCAGACATCAAAATGGCGTAGTTCTGTTACAGCAATGCACACACTAAATGCTGCTTTGCAAAACTCTCATTTATTAGCTTATTTCAATCCCTGCATCTGTATTATCTCTAGATAAGGAAGTACTTTCTAGAGACAGATAGTGGTGATACACATTTAAAAAAAATAAAAAGGGGTGCAAGTCTAACCATATTCTTCAGCTAAAAAGAAAATTAATTTTTTCTCTCTTGTTAGAAGCAGATGGATGGACAAACCATTATCTTAGATCTGTAAACTACTTACACAGCTTCCATTAAATGCCATCCAACCACTTCTTGGATTTCAAAATCCCTCTATATCTCTCCAGCTGGCTTTCCCCATCCCTTTTGGTCCTTCCTCTGTGGAACTAACATGTAACTATGCATAAAGGAGACATGTTCTAAGAGGTTATTAAAATCCATCATCCCACACTAGGATGCAAGACTCTTCTGTTAGCTGACCTGACCCAAAGCTACTGAGGAAGTTCAGGTCTCACATGTTCTGTGCTGCTTGTTAGTTCTCTGCTAGGATATGAGAGATGGATGTGCAGGGGAAATGTGGGAATGAGGCAGGAACATCCTGCAGGATATCCCACGAACAGGCAGGCTATAGTAATCAGGCTGAGGCTCCTATTTCTTGCTATTGTTTAAGTTACCTAAAACCATACCAAAAAGAGACACATTTGACTTAAATAGCACTCGTAGACTTTATTTTGGGACAGGATGTAGTACATGAATTCTAATGCTATGATTTGGTACTCTAGCAATCCCTTAGCCACTATAAATGACCTGAGCTAGGACCCACCTGATGAAGGCTTAATAATCAGTAGCTTCTTTTGAATTGTCTCAGAATAACACTATTGCCTTCCCTGGAGTAAATCTGGATTTATACCTCTGTAAAGGAGGGTAGGATCAGATCCAGGTCAGCTAGAAACTTACAACTAAAGCATCTGCTGAACTGAATACTAACAAAAGCAGCAAAAGCATTTGTATACAAGACAAAAAAGACGTATGTGAAAGACAGCCTATCCTTGTGTGAAAGCACAAGAAAATGGACTAAGTAATCTAGATACCAACCCACAAGAGAGGCAAGGAACCCAGACCATCTACCAGACTTACCGCAAGCGGCCAGCTAACACAAGTGAGCTTCCTGTAGACTCTGAAAATGTGGACAATGTAGAAAAACAAAATCATAACCAAGTCGCACATGGTGACAATCTGAAAGTAGCTGTATGCACTGTAATCCGTCCATGGAGAATTATTTACACTGATGAATCCAACCAGCAGTGAGATCTGAAAGACAAAAGGCACATTAAAGATTTTTACAATGATGCTCAGAGGGCCATGGAGATGATTTTAAACAGAACAAAATGGCATGTAGAAACAGAAGACAAATATCTAATGTAAACTGGATGGTTCCAACAAAATGCAGGACAAAATAACAGGCATGGTAATACTGTTTTAAAATTTGCTGTTAAATGAGTTAAAACAACCATTAAGAGTGGGGAAAGAGCCAACTGCTAGAAGGAAAGCAGCATCTGGAATATTGTGGGCCCCACAGTTCAAGAAGGACAAGGAACTGCTTGAGAGAGTCCAGCACAGAGCCACCAAGATGATGAAGGGAGTGGAACATCTCCGTTCTGAGGAAAGGCTGAGGGAGCTGGGTCTCTTTAGCTTGGAGGAGACTGAGAGGTGACCTCATTAATGTTTATAAATATGTTAAGGGCGAATGTCAGGAGGATGGAGCCAGGCTCTTCTCAGTGATGCCCAATGGTAGGACAAGGGGCAATGGGTGTAGCTGGAACACAGGAGGTTCCGCTTAAACTTCAGAAGAAACTTCTTTACAGTGAGGGTGTTGGAGCACTGGAACAGGCTGCCCAGGGAGGTTGTGGAGTCTCCTTCTCTGAAGACATTCAAGACCTGCCTGGACGCCTTCCTGTGTGATCTCATTTAGGTTCCTGCTCCGGGATTGGACTAGATGATCTTTCGAGGTCCCTTCCAATCCCCAACATTCTGTGATTCAGCCTGAAGAATCCAATCTGAAGAAGTCTCTATGTACAATACAGGAGGTCTCAAATAGAGAAGAGGCACCGAATGCCTGGAGCTGCACCAGCAACCGAAGCATCTAAACCCCAAGTACTTTCAGAAGGAAATCACTAAAGCTGTAAAAACTGAGATGAACACATGTGCCTTTACTTCCATTCAGTAAGAGTTCTCACATGCAAAATTGGAGGACCTGGCTGCAACTGAGTTAACAGTTTTACTCTTCCTTTTCTACCACCTACAGAGCAGGAGTATTAGCAGACTATAAAGTAGTATCATAGCAAATAATATAAACATTTGGAGGAACTGACTAATTCAGCCCACCCCCAATACACCAGTTACAAAGCTTTAATATGTTAACACTGTCACATAAAACTATAAAGCATTATTGTACAACTTTCAGTTGTAGGCTTGCAAAGGACAAATGTTTTGGTTTTTTTTTTTAATCTAAAACTACTTGTTTATTTTACTACTCTTGCTGCTTCTACCAGCCTGGCTAGCCTAGGTGATAAAAATAAATCTACTGAGGATGTACTCAAATATTTTCTCATTACAGACTTTTTAAATGCATGCTTTCAGCCACTGTAATTTTTAGTTCATTTAAAGTCAGCCAGGAGCAGTAATGATTCAGATTTTAAGTGTTTCTCCAAGACATTAAAAAATGAGGAAGCCAGCACTTCCAGACTGCAGCATCCTTTCCTGTACGCTCATCTTCCAAACTCCTAACCAACTGCATTCATTATCAGAATAATTTCCTTAAGATTAAAAGGGAAAGAAATAAACAACAGCCAAACAACATAGCTGAGATTCTTCCTGCTGTAGTTTTAACTGAGTTTCACCCGCTCAGTTCTAAATGGACAGGCTAAACATACACATCCCCGAGGACAATCAAAAGCTCTATATGCACATAAGAACTTCACAAAAACTTGTCACCTTGGCCAGACTCCACACAAACAGCTGCATCGATGTCATGACAGTGAACCACCTCAAAAAGATGGCTCCAAAGAGAAAAGTCAGTGCTCTGGGATCCTTTCCCACCCAGGTGGCTAACCTATCGTCAGAGCTAGTCCAGCTCCATTGTTTCTACAGTGGTAGTCCAAGTAGTTGATATTAGCACTGCAAGTGGTGCTCAGTCTAAGCCAGCGACAGGCTTCTGCACTAAAGTAAGCCTACATCTTCTCCCACCTTTGAAACAGATACAGGGTAGGGAGGACAGGACTTTGAGGTGCAAGGCTAGATCATGCTCAATGCTTCTCAAGAATGGAGGTTACATATGACTTGAAAATGCATGGTATTGCCCAGTCCCTGTCACCCCAAATATGTTTCTGCCCTCTGGTTTGGGAGTGTAACATCATAGTAGCATCCCACACGTTCAGTGGTTGCGTCTGTAGCACGCCTGTTCTCTGCGTCTCACAGCCTAGCCACTGCGGAATCCTAAAGGCACAAAGCCTTGCATCTTGTTCATGGCAGAGCTTTCTGAGATGCCACGTTTCTTGGAAGACAACAAAGCCATGCTCTCCACAATTCAGCATTTAAATACTTCTGTCCCAGTTCTTCAATTCTGAGATCATTTTAATGAAGTTTTGTCCAATCTACATCTACATACACCAGGTCTACATTAAACTGTGGTTTCGTGAGGGGCCATGGCCTTTGTCATCTTCTCCTTTCCACCATGACTTCACTCTCCTTCACTCACCTGTGCTGAGCCATCTCAGTCTACCAAGCTAGCAGAAAAGTGAACTACTAAAAAAAGCAAACAGCTCTTCTCTGACTCTGTCATTCACCCAAGGCAGGGTCAGGTGAGCAAGGCAGGGTGAGGGAGAAGCGAGGACTCCGAGGGAAAGGAATGGAAGGACCGAGCGGGCAGCGTGGCAGCAGCCAGGAACTACGCTGGCTCAGGCTGCTGCAGACCATCCATCTTGGTTCCTTGAATCTTAACGCCAGTTAAGCAAGGAGTCATCCGATTTAGCTGCTGAGTAACTCCAACAATCAGAAGATCAGCAGGTCATTTACCTTATAATCTAGGGGAACACCTGAAGTGATTATTTTAATGACAAAAGTAAAACTAAATTTAATGAAATTTCCTTCTATAGGTAGACTCAACAAGAAGTCAAGGCAAGCGTTTAATCATGCTCCTGGGTCAAGGTGGGACGAGGACAACACTTCTCTAACCAACAGAAGCTAAAAGGGGTCTTCTTTATTCAGGTGCCTGCACAATTATCCATTTTCAGTTTCAATTACACTGTACAAATAAAAAAGGAAGTGCTAATTCAGAGAAATATTAAATCTGCCTAGTAGCTCATTTCACGCTTGAACCATTAACTTTATCAACTTTTTTACCGTGTACAAAGGATAAGAAGGACTGGATCCTTGAAGTACAACCATCATTCAAATAATAAGCAGCACTGGTTAAAAAACCCAAACAACCCTTAGTTTAAACTAGACTCAGTTCTTTCAACTTCATAGAAGCATAGAAGTTTCGAGGGTTTTTTTTATCTTCACTTAAAAGGTATAAAAAATTGAGAAGAAACATAAAGAAGATTGTGAGCCATCCAAGGACAAGATGAGGAAATTCATCTGAGGTGCTATATTCCTCAGAAATAAGAAGATACAAGGTGCCAACCAGTCAGCAAAGAACCTGCTCAGCCCCTAAGAACAGGGTAGGAACATGGATTTGAAAAAACGTGCTTTCCATTTCAAGTGTACTTCACAACTAAAACAATTCCAAAAACAACTAGTACAGATTCTCACAGCTAGCAGGTACAGTCAGAGTCTAAAACTCACCTGTTGAAAAAGAATGCTAACAAATGTAAAAAATAGAGCCACGTAATATTATTTGTCCTTTAAAAGTGACAAATATCAAAGTTCCTTCACCAGATATCGGTTATATCATGAATATACCGGGTGATGACTGTATTTTTTTTCCTTCTGGAATTCCTGTTTCCAGAGAAACTGAAATTGAGTGATAAAATGATTAATATGTAACTGTCTGGGATACAGTTCAACATATATCTTAGAAGTCAGTTTGTGGCAGAGAAAGAGAGAGAAAAGAATGGCAAAGCAATAAAATGATCAAATGTTATGAGTGTTCTTTATGCATCTGTGCTCAGAGGAGCAGGTTAATACATCTTGAAAATAAAAACTAGAGGCACAAAAAAAATGAGGGCATTTCCATTTCAATACAGCATTTCACAGACATGTGAGAGCAGCAGACATGTAATCCATTGCCAGCCAGCCAGTCAGACCAGAAGTACAGGTCAAATGATGGGTAATGTCATTAGAAGATTTCAAAGTGCTCCACAAAATATATTCAGGCTTCAGACCTGCATTACAAAAGGGGTGAAGAACACATTGCACAACACTGCTATTTATGTGTTTTCTGGTTTCTGAAAAGCAAAACAAATAATATATGTATCAATCAACTCCAAGGAGGGATTTTGGGATTTAAATAAAGTTCTGTATTTACTCTGTTCCATGGAAGGTGATCAGCTTAAATTAATCCACTTCTTGACTTTCCAATGGGCCAGATATTTGAAGTGAGTCATGAAGCACGTTTAGGAACACTGGTATATATCAGAAACTATCTCACAGTGAAGCCAACATGAGCTAAAGGCAGTCAGCAATTGCCAGGACGCACTCAACACCTTACCAGACAGAACAGACATCAAAAAAGAAAGATGGTAAGAGTTGGAATTCTGTTCTCTATTTTGAGCTGCAGACACGGCAATCACATCCTCTGCAATGTGCCTGTGGAAAATGTTGGCTCTTGAATGTACTGACATAAGTTCCCAAGTCATTCTGATGACTCCCCACTCCATTCTGATTTGAGTGAGCACAGCCCTACCAAAAATGAAACATAACTGGCTCTTTCCTGATACGGTCTTCCTTCAAAAGCCAACTCTTGGCCCCTAAAAAAGGGTCAACAAGTGCAGCTTTTTCAAGGATGTTAATGGGAGGTAGGACACAGGCTGAGAGATTTGATCGTCACAACAAAGAAGGGCCAGGTGTTATGCAGCTGCTGCCTTTAAGTGATGAGGGCAAGGCTCAAGACCAACTTCCCCCTGTGCTATGACATCACTTACTTAATGTGCCAGGCATGGGCCAAGCCAACCAGCCACATCCAGGGCTGGGATGGGCTGCAGCAGCACAACGCGTGTCCCAGCCACGCAGGAAATGTAAGGTGTGATCCAGTTATGTGTTGCATGCTCACAGGAAGGACCACAGAGAATGGTTGAGGTTGGAAGGGGTCT